CTTCTGCAGACAAGGTGATCCACGAGCGAAAGGAGTCCCTTAAAGATGAACGGGAATTTGAAAAGATCCAGAAGAAGAGACATTTGGACTTCTTGGACATTCTGCTGTGCGCCAAAGTGAGTGGCAAGGAGTGACGTTAGTAGCCTCTGTTGGGGAGTACAACATGCAGAGGGATTTCATAGTCTTGCTGGTTTAATATGGGGGGGATAAAGGGATTTATAAGCAAAGGAAAAGAGGCCCTGAATTCAGTCTAAACAGAGATTGATTTTGTTTATACGTATGCCAGGGGCATCACCACCCTCCTTTGCAATAGCTGAAAGAATATAATGTCCCCTCATGGGATATTATATTTTATATTTATATGGGCCACTATAATAAATATGTATTTTTATATATATATATACATCTATGGGCCACTGAAAGTGTCTCTGGGCTGTTAGGATGAGAACGGAGCTGGACTGTCTGATGAGGACCTGCGTGCCGAGGTGGATACGTTCATGTTTGAAGGCCACGATACAACGGCCAGCGGGATCTCCTGGCTCTTGTACTGCCTGGCGTCACACCCCGAGCACCAGGCACGGTGCCGGGAGGAGATCCAGGAGATCCTGGGGGACCGGGAGACGCTTCAGTGGTAAGGTTGCACATTTCCTCAGCTGGTAACTTTCTCCCACCACCGCTATTTCTAAGTGAGCAATGTTTTCAAGGCTCGAAAGCTGGGGTGCTAAAGGACTGATTTGTAAGGTGGGGGGACTTCACAGTATGGAGCAGATACTGCATCCTTCAGCTACACCTGCCTCCCTGACCTTCAGGGCTTCAGGGCTCCTATTGCCAGGGTAGACACGAGAAAAAAACATCCCAGACCAGGAGGACATGCTGGATGCTGTGCCAAGACCTGGGCCACCGATGTTGCCCTTTGCTCTCTCCTGTTTTCTCGCCACAGGACGTTGTATTTGCGGCTTTTCGCCTTTCACTGTCACTTTGCACTTGAGCTTGTTCAGAGGCTGTTAAGATTGTTCAGAGGGGTCTTGGGGTCCCCAGCTTGCAGCAGCACGTGGTTGGACATTGTGGGTCCCTCAATACACCCCATCTGTTGCAAGGGGGTCTGCCCAGGGGGCTGATGGCCGTGGGGCAAAGAGCCTCCCAGCCCAGGGCAGCGGGGGGAGCGTGCGGCTCAGCCTGCCTCTGTCCCGGCAGGGAGGACCTGGGCAAGATGACTTACAGCACCATGTGCATCAGGGAGAGCCTTCGCCTTTACCCACCGGTGCCCGGCGTGTCCCGACAGCTCAGCAAACCCATCACCTTCCCCGATGGACGTACCTTGCCAGAAGGTCTGTAAATCCCGTTCCCCTTCACAAAATTGTGCTCTTGGACATCTCGCTGCCTGCCGCAGCGCAAAGGTGACCACCCTGCTTCTGTGACCCGGTCCTCGCCGGCACAGACGTTCAGATAGGACTGTGCAGATGTTGGCATCCCATTGATAGACTGAGGTCTGGGCTGTACAGTGGCATCCCCGTGACATCCTTCCTGCCACCACTGCTAAAGGGCAGCCGTGCCTGTGCCCAAAGCCCCTTCTCTTCCTGGCCAAGCACGAGCCCGTGGTTCACCCACTTTGGCAAACTGCGGGTGCAGGGGGATGGGGACCAGTCCCATCCTGACTCGCGGCGTGGGAATTGTCCTGTGCTACTGCTCTCCTTCTCTGATTTAGCTCCCAAGTGGGCAGTGTCGGTGGGGGGACGATGTGCCTGTGGTGCCAGTGCCTTCCTCATTTCCACTGTTTGGCTGCTTACAACTAAACAAATGGGAAATGTTTAGTTTTCTCTGAAGCCAATGACAAAACCCTCATTGGTTTCCAGTTGACAGATAAGACCATGATGATTCAAACAGACCTTCGTGTGAGCAGGCTGCAACTTCTCCTTTAGTTTCATTGTCACTGAGCCCTTTTCGCCTCCTCGATTGCTTTACAGGCGGCATCGCTGCGATAAGCATTTATCTCATTCACAGAAACCCCGCGGTATGGAAAGACCCTTTGGTAAGCTTTCTTTTGCCCTTCTAATAATTTTTCCCCTTTATGCTATGCCTCTTCCAATGCCCTCTTCACCTGTTAGCAGGAGAGCAGAGCCCCCCTTGCTGCTGAGCATCTTTGGCCATGGGAATCATGCTGAGACTTGACAGCCCTGTGTTAGTCTTGGCCAGCTGTGGCACAGGGCGGTCAGACAGCAGCGTTAGGGCTGGATGCTGCTCAAACAGTAAGACAAAGTGCTCCAAAAAGCTTGTTGTATTAACAGGCAAAAAGATGATTTTTTGCTTAGCCTACAGGTGGAGAATTGAGTCCTGGCTCCCCGGTTTTCATCATATCTATGTCCTATCCTTTCATCATATCTATATCTGTATGGTGTCTTGGCAACACCATTGCAAGGCTCGGTGGAAGGCAAGGGAGTCTGGCGTATGAGTTGCAGTCCATCTCAAAATGAATTCTCTCTCCAGTGGGATTGTTCAGAAATTATGGGGTGTTGCGTTTCTGAAGATACCAGGCAGTACTGTGTTCCTTAAATAATCGCTTTTTCTTGCTGTGTATTCTTCATTTCCAGGTGTTTGACCCTCTGCGGTTTTCCCCGGAGAACGTCTCTGGCAGACACTCTCACGCCTTTCTGCCTTTTTCAGCTGGAACGAGGTAAAGTGTATTGAATGCTGAAGGAGTAGTGGGGAGAGAAAACATGCATCCCTGGAAACTGCTCAGCGCGAGAAGTGTGTGCTGCTGTTATAATTGCTATCAGGGAAGCACTCGCAAACTGCTTTCAGAGCCCGCTGCCTGAAGTCCTGGCCCTGCAGTGTTAAATAGTTCACAAGTATATAACAAGCATTTGTGCCACAGAGGGGTTCTGATACCAGCAGGCAAAACAGGAAGGAAACATCGCTGGGCTCCTCTTGGGGATGGGGAACGGGGTCCCAAAGCTGCTGAGCATCCTGCTGGCATCACGCGGGGAACCTACAGCATCCTGGGCTCGCCTGCTCTCCTCTTCTCCTTGATGCAGAGACCCCATCCCACCCCCTACATCCTTTGATTCCCCCTTGTCCCCTCCTCCCAATCCTTCCCTTTGCCCTGCGCTCACCCCAACAAGGCAAACACGTTGCAGACCCTTCTGCTGGGAGACCCGCTGCCTCGGCTCTGCTGGCCTCTCCTTTGGCTTCCCCATTTCCCCTCCCTCTCTGTGCTCATTGAACACACATCCAGGAGCTCCTCTCCCCCGATGCTGCCCTGGATTTCCCCTGCTCAGCCCATGCCCCTGCTTTTGCCACCCAAAACACTGCCTGGGACCCCCAGAGCTGCAGAGGGGAAGGGTTGTGTGCTGGTGTGAGAGGGCCAGGATCTGGCCGCGGGGGTTTATCTGTGCCCAGCACGGAGATCGGGGGGCTGAGCTGCTCTGTTTTATGCCAGGAACTGCATCGGGCAGCAGTTTGCCATGAACGAGATGAAGGTGGCTCTGGCCCTGACCCTGCTCCGCTTTGAGCTCTCGCCCGATCCCGCCAAGCCTCCCTGCAAAATACCTCAGATCATCCTTCGATCCAAAAACGGGATTCACCTGTATCTAAAGAAAATCCGCTGATGCTGGAAAACGTCCTGCCTTCGCCGGAGGGAGGGACCAAGCAGATGACGGGACAATGTTTCTCTGGGGCAAAAGGTGCAGGGCAGGATTTGGGGATGAGGATTCCTGATTTATGTGCTTCTTCCACCAGCTGAAAGCCCTTTTTGGTCTGGGCCCAGGTAGCCTGGATCTTGGAGCAGCCAGGCATGGCCATGCCTCTTTGCTGGCTTTCCCCCCGCCCCACCACGGAGCCCAACCGAAGCTGCCGTGAGGGCTGTCCTCCCACTGCAAGGGGCCTGGGAACGTCTGCAGGTCCCACCAGCTTCCTCCTTACCAAATCCTGCCCTCGCCCTCATGTCCTGGCCGAATCTGTGACCATTCCCAGCCCTGTTCCGTCGTCAGCACCTTCCTCAGTGCCTAGAGGTCAGCCCTGCTCTCCCGCAGCAGGGACAGCCTGTGGCAGACTTCTGTCTCTCTTCTCACACTCAATGTGTCTCTGTTTTATTGAAAGCCCTGATTCCAATTTGGGCTCTGAAATGCTGCCTAAACTACAAAATATTCTGTAATTTTTGTGTTAGTAAACCAATAATTATCCCTGTAACAGCAGCTGCGTTGGTTTTTATTGCTGATGTTTACCCACTTCGACACAAATAGAGTGTAAAACCCCTTTAGAAATGGGAGATGGAGGGGAAATCCATGAGCAGCAAGAACAACTCTGGGGGTGTCTGGCCAGGCCCCTGCCCGCAGGTCTCCAGCCAAGGCAGCATCTCCTTCCGCGGGCAACCCCTTAACAGCGGTCCAACGTGCAATCTTCATTTAAAGCTACGAGGGAGGAGTTCTGATATTTAGAGAGGGGTTTTTTCTCCCTTTTTTTTTTATTTTCCTAACTGATAAAGTTATGAGAGTTGTATGCTTGAGGTACACTGGAGGACACTAGCGAGCTGTCCTCTGCCTCTGCAAGAATCATTATTGGGGTAGAAAGTGTCAAATTGGGAAATCCCAAATGCTGCTGTTGCAATTAGCGTCGCGGTGACGTTGACTGCAGTTCCAGCATCGTGAGCAGGCTGCTGTGCAGTAAGAGAGCATCTGACTTCATACAGCTCTCATATGCAGAGATAGAAAGCAGCGGAGGAAACAGGAGGACCTTTTTGTGGGATACACTGTGCTACACTATCAACACTGCGAGCCCAATCACTGGTGAGCCCCCAGGTTGTAGGAAACATAAGGTTTTGTCCAATTTTAATTTTAATTACACAAAGGGTGCCCATAATAAATAATAGTGATAATACAAATAACCTGTGTCATCTCTCACTCTAAGCACATCACCAACCCACTGCAAATGTCACACCAAAGGTGTCCTCAGAACAGCTGTAATTGAGAAGCTGCAAAAACCAGGGCAGTACATTGTGCCAGTAGGGTTGCCCATGCACCTCCTCTGCCACATCACCCATATCTTCTCTAACCACAACGGTATCCACAGCTCCCACCAAGCCTCCCACAAACCCCTCCTCTGTCCTCTCCACTTACCTCTGTGCAGCACATCCAGCCACCATCGATAAAACCTGCCTGCCGTGGGGTGCCTCGAGAAGACACATCCACCAGCCAGCTTCCCCTCCAGTCTCCACACCTCATGGTCCTCCAGGCACCCAAGCCACAAATTAATCCCTCCTGTGAGTAAAACCTCTGGGTTGCCCTGAAGCAGCTGCTATGATTCAGTAATATCCCATTTCAGAAGAAATGGTAAAAGAAAGAAATCACCTGCGTGCATGGGTAACACAAGGGACACGACTGCATCATTCAGCTTCACCCTGAATTCAGTTACAACTTTGTGAAGCCTGAGTACGCAAAAAATACCAAAAGATTCCCAACCTGCCATGGATTTGCACCCATAGCTCGCGAGGAGAAAAACTTGGGTCACTGCATATCCTGGAATAAGTTAAAGGAAAGTGATGATTTATCTCCTCCTGCTGAGGCTCTGGTCCGGGAGGAAAGCAGCAAATGCACCTGGCTCAAAGCTGTGCAGTCACAGCCTTTAGTGATATGGCAACTGATAAGCTGATAAAAGCCAGTTTCTTCAACTATGTTCAGTCATATTTCAAGGTCACTGGGTAAAAGCTCATTGGGTAAAAGCTGCAAACTCACTTCACCTCGGTTACTAAACTAGGGCTGTTCCAGCTACAGCAGCTGAGGAGCTACGTATCTGGGGTGGTGCCAATATTCCCGTGCAAACCCCGAGTCGTCCTTGTACGTTGAACAGACCCAGCGTGGCGGGGCTGGGCAGAGCAGAGGCATGCGGAGTGTCACAGCGACAGCGGGAGGGCTGTGCATGAAGCACGAATGGAACTGGCTGTGTATGAAAGCACTGGGAGGAGTAATATAAAGCAAAGATTGCAAAAAATGGCCTGTATCGATGACCAAGGACACAAGTGACAGCAGTAAAACCGGTGAACGCTGAGGAAAGCCTTGTTTACACCAAGGCAGGTGGCCCCCGTGCCAAGAAGGCCACAGTGCAGATGACTCGCCAGCAAAAGAACTGTGCTCTGACGGTGGGAGGATGGAGCAAGGTTGTGTCACCTTGTACCTGCCATTCCTCTCCTGGCGTTTAAGGGACTGTAACCCCTTAACTTCCCATTTCAGGTGAGAGCTGAGCCAGCGCTGGTGAGCTGAGACAGCACAGACCCTCCAGGCAAGAGGAGGTGCCAATCAAGCCTCTTCCCTCTCTCTTCCTGTGCTGAGACCTGAAGCAGTTTGTGGTCAGACCACCACAGCCAGAGACTGAATGAACAAAACTTGCCACAAATGGAGCCGACCCTGGGCTGTGACCCACCAGAAACTCCTTTGCTCCTTATGCCCACGGAAAATGTACCCACGGGAACTATTTCGCAAGGCCATGGAAATGCACAGACAGCCCACCAGTGGGAAGAGGGCCAAATTACAAGTGCAATTTAAAATTCACAGTTGAGTTTGCAAAGTACAAAAGATTTAAAGCTAAAGAAAGGTTTAGTGGCACCAGATATCTGGATTCAGCGCCTAAGTTTGATGTGCAGAACCGTGCAGAGCACAAGCTAACTAGGTGAGAGGACGACCTTTCGCTGTTACCATCACCTTGCGAAAGCAGCCGGGAGAGCATCTGCCAGACCAGGCAGTTCATGCGTCCTCAGCGCCAGGACCCGTCGGCAATGCTGGAAGTACCCCCCCCCAGCCTCATCCCCCCTGCACGCACCTTGATGAGTCCGCCCTTCTTATTGAGAGCGCTACGTGTGCCTTTTTGCAGGAAGACCTACTATTTTTTAGGCAAAAGACTTGAAAATCTGTGGTATTTAGTTGATAATTTTAAAAAGAATAATTAATAAATAAATAATAATAAATAAATAATAAT